AAAACAAATACAAAAGAAGAAAATAAAGTAATATAAGAAGACATATATTTGTGCACCTTTAAATGCATTATCACCCTCCTGGTATAGTGACACTGCTCAGCACCTCATTTTATTTGCTTCCAAATCTGAAGTGTATCGTGCAGATATATGAAAATGAGTTACAGTTTTAAAATTGAAATACCTGATGAGACAGTATAGTCTGAATAGGAGGAATATTTTAAAAACTCGGCTTCAAAATCTCTGCTGATAATGTCGTCGGGCAGCGACTCAATGAGGGCTTGCTTTGCGGGGTCCTCGCTCCTCAGGACATTAGTCAGGTGACTCCACACGAATGAGCCCACTAGAGAAATAGAATAAGGGAAGAGCTCAAGACATGCCAGGTCACAGACAAGCCGAGTAAAAGTCTGAAACATTATTGCATTCCCTTACATTCCTTAACAAATCCTAGCAAATAAACATAAATCAAACATGCGCCTCTAAGATACACAGAAAGGAATTCAATCTGTGCCATCACTCAAGAGTTTGGGGTTATATCTAAATGACTTTGTTTTGTTTTTTGACAGAATGTTCAAAAAATTATTTTTTATATGTAACAGTTTCTTCACAGAACTGTGAAAACTGTCTCTAAGAGAAGTTGTGACCCTCGCCACTTGTCCAGCTCAGCAGGAAGATAAGTGCATCGGAGTCTCTGGTTTCAGAAACAGATGCTTCACAGTTCTTTAACCTGCATCTTCATTTAATGGTCAGACCCAGACTTTACTGCTTCGGGATGGGAGTAGATCACACTGCTGAAAACTTCATTCTTTGGTTCCCACATGAAACAGCTTTTTTCAAGAATACAGTATTAATGTGATATATGGAAATTGATAAATATGATCTAATATTTATATTCAGAGAATATCTAAGAAATATTCTGAGATTTAGTGACCACCAAATATTCTGCTGTTTGTCCAGCACTTCACTATTTTCCTGTTTTCCACCATTAAACATTTCTGATAGCAGAAGCTGTTACGGCCATCTCTTCCACAAACCCCACCTTGACTGGAAGTCTCACTCCTCAGGGTCGTCTTCACCACTTCAAACACATCCAGGTCAGAGCAACGCATGAGCTGCTGGTATGCGGCGATTCTGACCTCAGTATCCTCCTGGGAAGAGCTGTACAGCTGCAACAGCACAGACCTCTGAGGGAAGGAAATCTCTGTCAGTACTGACGTTCGGCTCCTATTCACCTCCTCACCTTGTCATCTCCACCTCAGCTCACAGGGAATTGATTATCGCCTCACTTAACCATACAGCTCATGAAGGCTTGTCTAAGAATATGGTGAGCATAAAGAACACCAAGGGTGGTTTCTTATGATCTTTTAGCACAATTTTATTCAACTGCTGGCTTAAATATTAACTCTGAATTAACTCACATCAGCTGAGCAGGGAAAGCGTCTGAAGGCATGGATTGCAGCAAGCCTAAGCTGCAGGGCTGCTGAGGAGCTCAGCATGCAACGGCTTAGCAGGGGAATGAAGGCAGAAGCAGACACACCAGTGTTTCCCACTGATTTTAAAGCATAAAGAACCTGGTGGGCAACATAATAAATGCAAATTGGGCATTGTTTATGTAAATCCTCTCACAATTCATTGTGCATTAAATGGAGAGTGAGATGAAGTTCTAGGTCACTGCATTACCTCTTGCACCTGAGTGGGTTCTTCTCCTTCACAGCCCTCCTGAAGGGTTTTCTCAAGGATCTGCATAAAGGTCTGTACCTGAGAAAGCTCAGTGCAGGAGTTTTGAGACCTCCGGCACAACTGATAGACTAGAGATGATCCAGCCAACAGAGTCTTGGACCGCAGCTCTGGGAGCTCTGTTAAAGCCTAACACAAAGAGCAGACATCTGGGTAACTAACCTATTTCATGTGAGTTTTGATGAGAGACTTAGGTCATCATGAGTGTCATCAGAAGGTTCCTACATTGATGGAGGAGATGATCTTTGACGAAGGATGAGGGACGAGGGCTATTGTGGTAAGGAGAGAGAGAGCCTGCTCTTCTTCCACCTCTTTGTTCCTCATCAGGTCAGTCAGTAATATGATGCAGTTTTCAGATCCACATGCCGGCAGTGCATCCAACAGCGGCTGCCTGTCCAAACAATTAATCAACATCAGTATCAAACTGCTCATATATACCTGATTATTTTAACTTAAGCTATAACTAACTGGACATTTCACTGGGCACCAAAATATTTTAGGTCATCATTTTTATTATTCTTCCTCACAAAGTTCCAAATTTCACATTTCACAAATTAGGAGTGTGACAAAAAAAATCTATACAGCATAGTATTGTGATATTTTTTGTGGTGATATTGTATCAGTACAGGGACACTAAAGATCAATATTTTATCAAATAATTTGAAATACTCAGAGAATTCTATGAACAAGATGGCTTATTTCATGCAATGCCATCCTGAGATTATGTTAGTTAGTAAACTGTTCAGCCAAAAAAACAAAAACAAAGCATCCAGCACTGGGAACACTTAGCTTGACAAAGCTACCTCCTAATTCAGAGCAAGCTAATGCCTGAGTGCCCTGATTAAAATAGGGCAGCAACCTCATTGCATTTAAAATCGGTGGTTGCCTACTCAATGTGTTCCCTATTCCGGGGTGGTGAGTAAATGGTTGCCCAGAGCTTGTTGGTGTTGCACACTCAGAATCACTTTTTATTACAAAGCTATTGCACAGGTCGCCTGATAGGAGGCAACCTTTCTGCAAATAGTTGCAGTCGGACTTGGAGTTACTGCAATCACTCTCAGAGTGGTTGTCTGAGAGTGATTGTAATTGTTGTCTGATTTCTAAATGCAGACAGATTGTCAGCATGTTGCCATGAGTCTGAATGAGACTGTAAATGAGCACAGCTGGGTGCCAGGGGATTGTTTTCTGGTTATATTCCTGTGGAACAGGAAGGCCGTTAACCTTAAAGTACACAGATTGATATTAGACTGATTGTGTCTTATAGCAACAATTATGAAAGGTTTTAGTAACCATCTCATTTTGCAGTAAAAACAAACAAACTGAATTTGATCTCATTAGATATAAAACAGACATGGACACAGTTGACCTTTGAGGACATAATTTGCATAAAAAGGTGATGAATCACACATATGTTATTACAATACTCAGCATATCAGAAAATGACAAAAAATTGCAAAATTATTATATCTTGAGTAAAGTATTGTAATAATATTATATTGCCATGAAGTCATGCACTAAACCACACTGCACACTATCTGTTCTTGCCGCACCTTACTGGCAATTCCTTGCTAATTGCTTTCTGTTACTCTTGTGAGTAATAAATCATTAATCCACTGTGATAAGGCCAGATTTGATATGTTTAATAGACAAGGAGGTGACCCTGTCCTTGGGCCCGCTGGGTCATTTCAGTCACAGAATATTGTCTAATTAAGTTGGCTGTTATTTTAGCTTTACTCCAACTAGCAGTTAAGGGAAATATGTTTTATTAACTGACACGTGCAATAGTCATGGTGGAGACAATCTGGACTCCCATGGGCTAGTGGTCTGCTGATCTAGTCTCTGAGAACAAAAGAACTCAGTCCACAAATGGACTGCAAAGAGGAACCATAAAGCTTTCAGTATCAAAAGTGTTGTTCCTGGCCTATAGATTCTGTATACTCATATGTTTACAGAATTTTTTACTGGCGGTAGATTGACAGGGAACTCAAGGAGCAACCAAAAGATACTCATTTATAAAACTTCTGGGATATACTGACCAGTCATTGCGGCACTTGAAAGAAGCTTCTTGCCAAAGTGTCTTGAGCTGAGAGATAGTCAGATCTTTCAGCTGGAACACCAGTTGAATAAACTCTTGTGATACCTTGGAGCAGAAAAACCAAACATATATAATATGGACTAAAGTTGCTGCTAACATATAGTGAATGTCAAGTATCAGCTTTTCAAAAGTGTTAAAGTAGAAAAATGAACCCTTATAGAACTGTGAACCAATCACTTGATCTTCACACTATAAGTTTATCATTTTAATGAGTCTGGGGCAGGGGTCTGCAACCTTTAACACCCAATGAGCCATTTGGACCCGGTTTCCACGCAAAGGAAAACACTGGGAGCCGCAAATACTTTTTGACATCTAAAATCAAGATAACACTGTATATATTGTTTTTTACCTTTATGCTTTGTGTGAACAACTATGGTTTGTTGCTTATGAAATCCATGAAGTGCGAAAGAGAAAATTACATTTTATTTATGTAATTAACACATTTTGAACTCTTAAAGAAATATAACAAAAGGAAAGACACCCATCTGAACTAAAATGATCCATGTAGCAAACAAAAACTGTTGTGAGCCGCCACCCTTATATCACCTTTGGGCTTTTGGAGCCTTGACCTGGCTTTTAAAAAATAATTGGAAAAAAAGCACTATGCTGCTAAAAAATTAAAAACAGATATTTGCAAAATTCTGCCTAAATATGTATTTTACCTGGTTAATGTGTGTGGCGGGGCGTGGTCTGCAGCGCCGCTGCAGGGGAGGCGGACGCATCTAAGCGGTACCCGCAATCACGCCTTGTCGCCTTAACGTCTGTACCATCTATGCTGTTGTGTTGGTATGTGTCGGGCTGTATGCGTACAGAAACCGTGTGTTAAAAGTGGTCAATAAAGAGACGCTGAAAAGCATGTTCATGGAGACATCGTCGGGTCTGCCGTGGTATGTTTACAGTGGGACTTCTGCTCCTGAACCTCTGTGCACAGCGTCTGCAAATTGGGGCTGTATGAAGTCACCTTCATCTTTACGCAGGACTGTAAACTGCCATCTGTGAGGCGTGAGCGGTGTTTGTTTTTAACATAGTTCATGGTGGAGAATAGCTGCTGACATAATGTTGATCCGAAGATCCATAATTGACCTACCTGGAGTGGAAAGTCTCGATAAATGCACGGCGTTTCGGCGGGTATACCGGCTTCCGCGAGTGTGACGCTTATTTTGAGCGATGAAAAAATAGAATAGAATAGAATATATTTTTATTTTTATATTTCAATATCACAAATATTCCAAACTAACATAAATAAAATGCACTTCAGCTAAATACTTCTAATTTATTTTCCCAAACCATGCGGAGCCGCACTTAAAGGACTAAAGAGCCGCATGCGGCTCCGGAGCCGCAGGTTGCCAACCGCTGGTCTGGGGAAAGTCTTTATAAACCTCCCATGTAAACAAGTTGCCAGGCTGAGCAAGACTAACCTTTAGAAAGGATATTCATAGTAATCACTCTCTGTGCTATTGCACCAAAACCTTCAGTGGATGTCCAGCCATGAATTACATATACAAACACACCTTCAATGATCTGACATGGTGCAGTCAATGTAAGCTATTCACAGTCACTGCTGAAGAGGGCTGCAGTATAATTGATATAATTAAAAGATTGTGACCTGCTGCATTTATGGCCTACCAGTTGTGGGTCTGAGGTGAGGCTGCATAACATCCTGACAGTCTGACCAACTTCCTGTGGTGTTGCTGGTCTAGTTTTTCCCAGCCTTGCAGCTCCTTCATCCTCAAACTGAAGGTCAGCTGGCACACGAGTGCCTAAGGAATCTGCAGGGACAATGAGGAGAACACGAATCAAGGTCTCTGAAAGGGTAAGAGCCAATGCCACAGAGATGCGCACTGGCTAAGACCATGGATGCGCTCACGCTGTTAAATTGTCAAGTGCAAGAGAGTTCTTTAGCAGACATTTTGAGCCCAGTTTACCAAACTTTTTGTGCTTCTGCAGACTTCATGTGAGGGAAAGACCCACAGTTCACAGCATTTTGAGGCAAACATGGGGTTAGTGTATTATAAAACAGTAAACAAACAGCCATGGGTGGAGTAACGGAACCCCAAGATTTCATGAAATCAGAGAGATGCTTGGTATAGCAGTCAGTGCTGACCCATTCCTATGAATGCCATTATCAAACCCTCATTAACTCACACAGGTGACATGTTTGGGACATAGGGTGGTGAGTGGGATTAGATTCGATTAAGGTGACTGCAGAGTCTTCTGACCTGCTCCTAGAGGACTTCCTGGCTGGGCTCTGAGCAAGAGTAGCTTAGACACTGTTTGGGTTTTCACCATCCCTGTAGTCCTGGACCATGTCATCATGGATACAGCCTCAGTACAGTTAACCTCTTCCATTACAGAGCCATGGCGCTGAGCACACTGTAGCTCCAAATGCATTGACTAGCAAAAAAGAACAAAAAGACAAAGAAGAAACAAACTCATTATCATTAGAATATGACTCAAATGCACACTTTAATATATGTTCTAATTCAGCTGTGCAGAGGACTAGCACCATCACTCCTTTTTCTGCCTTTTCCTTAGAAGTATTCATTCCAAATTACAGGAATTACACCATAAAATAACCACCATGTGCATGTTTATTCCCAACTTTGTCAGTCACTAATTAATGACATATCAACATTTCCAAACACTGTTGAGAAAGATCCCTAATCTTACTGTGTCTTCACTCAGAGCAACTGAATGAGGCCAGAAGTTTGCCAGCCTGGACTGATGGCACTGTTTTAGATCCCTGGTCTTCAGCAGTATGAGTCCTCGCCTCTCGTACCTGCTGATGCAGGTGCCGTACACATCCGTCTGAGGAAAAGAAAGAGTGAACGAAAGTTAAATACGCCTGGGAAGAATTTCTTCATATACATGCATATTTAGGAAATGAATGGAAACAAATTCGGTTTCCACTAACTCACCTCATTTTCTAATGTCAGTTTGGAAGCCATGGGGGACGTCTGGAACATGCTCAGTAGAGCCCTTTTAATGTTCAGAGCCCACACCTGCTCCCCCTCCTGCAGACAGAGGGCCGTGACCTTCCCCCTCTGGAGGGAGAACTTGAGGCGTGTTCTCTCCAGTGACTCCCTGGGAAACAAAAACACCAGATGAGGCCCCCACAAGACCAGGGAACACAGACAAGTGGAGCATCTGAACGGGGAATCAGATTCACAGGAAAAACATCTGCAGCATTCCAAAATGAGCGGACAGAATGGCATACACACACATGCAAAAGGAAACAGAAGAGAAGGAATTCTGCACTCATTCACTCGCCATCATCTGTGAAAACACACCGGACTGTATTAAATCTATACATTGGCTTTACCTCAGACTTTTTAAATGCTGCACAGAGTGCTCCTTTTGAGGGGAAAGCCGTTTTATCTGTGGATTCCTTATCTGTAGAGATCAAACATGCACATTAAATATCAGATTTTTTGTTATTTAATAATGCGTTTTTATTGTTGTTTTTTGCAAAAACTATTTTATTAAAGCTGACCTGCATCATTAGGTGACACTTGGAGACCACGTCAATATCAACCAGACAGTCCAAAGCCAGACCATTCCTGCCACCAGTGGAGCCGTGAAGGGTGCTGGTAATTGTCGTGCTATACCTGTAAGTGTATCTCACCCCTTTCTGATAGAGTAATTCAGAGGTAGGAAATCCTAGTGAAAATAATTTAGCAAATAAAACACAATTAAAAAATTGAAAAGGAAATTTTGAGGGAAAAAACCCTCCTTGTCAGTGTGCATGCATCCATAAATCTGAGATCCATTAGACTAAGTAACAAAGATCTTACCAGAACAACTTAAATCACAGAGATTTGGTTTCCCCTGTAGGCAATCACCTACTGAAAAGGAAAAAAAACATCTCAGGCATATCGACAGAACATTACAGCCCTTGTCAAACTTCTATACATAACATCTACTACAGCCAAACCCTGTTTTGACTGGAAAATGAATTCACTCTTCAAGAACTAATATAACAAAGCAAACCATAAAACTTACCATGTAGCAGGAGAAAAATAAGTACACCATTGAAGAGTAACAACAATACTGCCATAGCAACCCACTACAGGTCTGGCTGCCTCCGATCCTCCACATATGAGTGAGATGAAAACCAAGCACTGTTCACAGCCACTGAATGACCAGGCTTGTACATGGGCTTCCTCTGTGACCCATACTGCTCACAGCAACCAATCAGGAAATACCTTCCAAGACTGAAGCTACAAACATTCACTGAGCCAATCACTTGACAGAACACCGGGCCTCACAAAACATCAAGTTTTCTTACACCCTTGTTGACTTGGACAGACATAAGACATGAACCACGTAAAGAGAGAATTTCTTTGCAAAGCTGGCAGCTGCACGGATACTGAGTTGGAGACTGGGGTGTTTGCAGGATTTTTAAAATGGGGCGGCACACAGGTAACTAAGTAAGAAATATAAATACCAAACCACTTAAAATTGGTAGGGTGTGGTTCAAAGCTCTGTATGGCATTTTTTGAAAGCCTCTAACAAGCCTGAAAGTCAATATTTGGTGTGACCATCTTTATTTTTCAACACAGCTTTCCTGTAATTTCTTTAAGTAATCTTAAGGAATAGTCCTCCAGGCCTCTTCTTTGGATGTTGGCTGCTTTTTGTTCTGTTCTCTGTTAATGTGATCCCACATTGCTTCAATAATGTTGAGGTCCGGGCTCTGCGGAGGCCAATCCATGACTGATAGTGCGCCATTGTGTGTTTTTCTACCCAGGTATGCTTTACTGCATTGGCAGTGTTTTTGGGATCATTGTCGTGCTCAAACAGATTCCAGATTGTATACCTGATGGTACTTTCCTGTGTTAATTCCATTCTATAAGTCCAGCAAGTTTAGCAAGATCTCCACATCTCAGCATCACTGACCGAAATGCAACTCAAAACCATGACACAGCCTCCACCATGTTTTGCAGATGACTATAGACACTCACTGTTGTAACTCTCGCCTGACCTCCTCTGTACATATTGATGATAATTCGAACTGACATTTTCAAATTTGGATTCAACACTCCATCAGACACGTTGTCACTGATTTTCAGTCTAGTTATTTTGTGATCTGGCATATCTCAGCATTTTTTCCTTGTTTCCAGTCCTTCAGAATGGCTTCTTGACAGCCACCCTTCCAGTGAGACCATTTCTGATGAAGCTTCAATGAACAGTAGATGGATCAACTGAAGGAGTAGTTGCATCTCTCATTTCCTGCATCAGGCCTTTGCTGGACTTTGCTATTTTTGAAGGACATGCTTTCAGATATTGTTCATCTACTGTAGGCTTTTAGGCCTGAACACACTATGCATCCTGAGATAGGGCAAGCTTTTAGCTAATAGCTCTTTGGGAATCACCTTGTTAGTGCAAAAATACTATTTTCTGTTATCTTTGGCATTTTTTATAGATCTAACTAATGGAATGGTAACAAATTATGTTTTTGTGATAGGCTGCTACTAACAAAGTGTCAAAAGATACAATTTAAAACTGGTTCTTTGCTAAGTTGCCTGTTATGTGTACACAGAACACGGGTTCATCCCTTGTGTTCGTTGCCTTTTCCGTGCTTGGATGATTCATAGGTCAGTGTTAAGTAGCTTTAAACAAACAAAAAACATTCCTCTAAAAATGGAAAGGTACAAGGACTGGACTGAACATGAGTGAAAAGCAGCCACTGTCCAAAGAATAACTCTGAATGACCTTCAGGCATCCTGGAGAACTACTGCTCAAGAGAAGAAAGTCTGGCTCACTTGAAGCAAAATAAAAAGAAATGAGGGGTGGCGGTATGTGGCGGAAGACTTTTGCACAGCTCGCGTAGCTACTAGTGGGAGGAGTAATCAAACTTTAGATGGGAGTGGTGCCATCCCATGCCCCCCTTTAGCCACACACATTTCTGACACATATATATCAGACAGGAGTGCTAACCTAGGCAAAAGGACTTTCAGAAGAATAATTTCCTTATACTTATACACTAAACACTTGTTAGTGAACTGAAAAGCTGATCTACAAACTTTTCAGAAGACAAAGAAACACAGCTGAGAGTAGTTAACGCATGAAAATAGGGACATCTAGTGTTTGTGTGGTATGGATAACAAGCAGGTGGGGAAGTAGAGGCTCTGGCAGCTATGATGGCGTTTTTACAGAATAATTTTCACCCCCACCACTCGGCCACGTTCCTTATTCTCAGACTGAGCTCAAACTAAATTATACAACACGCCTTTCATCCCCATCTCCTTCCCCCATCGTTTAACAGGCAGGCTTCCAGTGCCACCTACTTTCCACGATGCACCCAACCCCGCGGTCCACGCCCGTGCTGCGACGTCAGTCACTGCGAGATTCAGGTCCGCGCGGCATTCAAGACTCTGAAAAATCGTATTTTACAACTTCCTGTAAAAAAATATAGACATTAACCGCCTTTTGCCGCAAATTTCAGGCATGACTTTGCACAACTATTTAGCTTGTTACCTTTATAGCCATAAGTATGATTTAGCGTTTAAAAAAATGACACGTTCACAGGTGTACCTACACGATGATATCTTCAAATTATGTCAGTTTTTATCTTCAGTACATGGGTGAGTTTGCCATATCTGTTAAATGACACGGATGTGGGTATCTGTAACAACAAAATCAGAGAATTATCCAGAGCTTTGTAGACATTTGTACCAGTGTACGCCACCAAAAGGCGTTCACCGATGAGCCCGAACGCATCGTCAGTCCGGGACCAGGGGGCGTAGGTTTGACCGGCTTCTGGGAGGCTCAGACACAATGAACCGTCAGACAGTGAGGGGTACGCATGTTGGACCGGGAGAATTAACACGGTCTTAGTGTGTTATTGCATGTAAACGTGCCGTTTCTTTGTTTTATCCAGTGATTCTCAAGCTGCTGAGACGCTGTATGGCGGTAACAAGGCTCTGCTGGAAGCGGTTTGTTCGTCCAGTTTGATGAAAACGAGGTCGGGATAAGACGAACGTTACCGTTAGCCCCTCCTGGTCGATTGTTTTTTAACTCTTGTTTTTGTTTTTTAGCTAAATACAACAAAGCAAAGTAGATAACGATGTCGCTGATTGCGTCGTCTGATTATTTCGCTGCCGAGTGTCTGGTATCGATATCTAGCGGTCCTGTTCTACACAGACCCACCCCGGTCGCCCCCGCCAACCAGCCTGCCTCGGTGGGCCTGCTCCCCGGGGAGCCCGAAGGGTCGAGTGAGGACAGGGAAGTGCGGGACACGCTGAGGCTGGAGGGAGCTAACGTGGTGGCGGTGGCCGGTATCCTCACCGACCTACACGGCAAGTTCCGCCCCATGTCGGCCTATTCGGAGAACAGCAACTCCTCGTGTGGTGGGGAGAGCGGTTACACCACGTTGTCCGACCCGACCACCCCTACCATGACCCCCACCGCCACCCCGGTCCCCGGACAGCAGCACCAGCAGCGGGCCGGGGGAGCAGGAGGAGGGGTGAAGCGACACCGGTGCACTTTTAACGGATGCGACAGAGTTTATGGGAAATCTTCCCACCTGAAGGCACACATCCGGACGCACACAGGTATGGAGGGGAACGACCACAACACATCGGTCATGTCAGCAGTTCACATGTCATGTATTTACACAGCCTTAGCTAGACCCTTGGCATAGCTCAACTTTGTACCCCCAACTTCTGCTTTCCTCGGTGCCATGTAAGCAGACGGTTTTATCGTTTAATCAGACCTATATGAGGGGTGGGAGTGCTGTGCCTTTCACTAACTACTGTAAGCGTGCCTGCTGGCTGCTTCTTTATGATTTTTTTTTCTTTTTAGAACTTGTTAAAGTAATTTAGCCAAACAAAGGGGGAAACGCTCCCCTCGGAGTCTGACAAAGAAGTAAACCAACAAAAGAACTGGGCTGGACGTTAAAACCTGTGACGAAAGTCTTCCTCTCGGCTGGATTTGCATATGAAATGAACGTAAGACGAAACCTTAAAGTTGAAAGCGCTGAAAATGATAGTGGGACAACGTAAAAGGCCTCAGCAAGTGCTTGGCGCTGTGTAGTTTTTCTCTGGGCATCACACTCTAACCCTCACGTATGCTGACAAGTTGAAATCAATCCTCCGCGATGTGTAAATTATTGATCAAATGTATTGATATCCAGTTCTGGATGCGCCACCCCTTTGCCATATATAGGTTTTTCAACGCATTTGGGGTGTTTTCTGAGTGAATACGTAATTACACGTCACCATACACCTCACCCATGTGTTTTAATTATGTAATAAAGGCAGATTGGTTGTGAATAGTTCATCCGTCAGAACGATAGCGTAACTTTATTAGTGACTTTAAGTGTGATTTTTTTCTCGCAAATCATTGGATTTGGCGTGTCCAGTGTCACTGAGCAGGCGCAAATGGATTAAGGGCAGGAAACGGCTCAAAGACGGTGTTGTGGGAACGCCCACAGAGTTCTGCAGCAACAACGTGGCCAGGCTTTGTGATCTTGCAAATGGCACCGAGCATCCCACTCGCTTATCCTGGGTTTGACTCGTGTTGCCTGCCGGAGATTAAGCCTAGTAGTAGCCCAGGAAGGCTAATCTTAGCCATCTACATCCTATATCTTTTTTTCACGTATCTAAATATACGTGAAAAGTGGTAATGCAGGTGTTACATTTGTGTCACTGTGTTTAAATCGATCTGATTTAAGTAATCAGATTAACAGATTCCTTCATTGTGCAATAACACAAACTGTAAGCATACAAAACCTGTTTTTCCCTTCCTAGTTCATTTGAAAGCACAGAATAATGTGGGCTTCAACAGCGACTTATATCTGAGGACTACACAAAAGATATGAAGAATCAGTTTGATGTGATGTATTAGAGGCAAAATAAAGCACACGTGCGAACTGAAATGACACGAAAGTGAATTAATCCAGTCCATGAGTTTAAATTTTGTCAGCTTTTACTTTGACATTTTCAATCCATACTTCATGGTTTTACCTTTTCACATGTAAACATTTGTTTTTTATACATTATTGAATAATGTGGAGGTTTAATGACCCGAGGCCGTGGGGCATTTTTGGCAGCAGGAACTGTTCACTTTTTCTGACGTTTTATTTCATAGTTAGGCTGTTAGTTGCAGAAATTTGCACCTTAACCAATCATAGATCAAAGATCAGTGAAAATAGTGCATTTTTGTTTCCTTTTATGTATGCAGTTGTTTATTGTAAAACCGATTCTCGTCAGAGAGAAGGGAGTAGCATTTCTGTTCCCGTGTGTTTGTCTGTTTAGTCATGAAACACCGTCTTGTGTGCTTTCTCTGCAAACCTGGCGACTGATTTCTCTCTGCTCTCTGTTGCCTTCGTGTCCAGGTGAGAGGCCCTTTCCATGCGTCTGGCCTAACTGTGTGAAGAAGTTTGCCCGCTCCGATGAGCTCGCCCGCCACACTCGCACCCACACAGGGGAAAAACGCTTCCAGTGCCCGCTGTGCAACAAGCGCTTCATGCGCAGCGACCACCTGATCAAGCACGCCCGCCGTCATCCCGACTTCAAGCCATCCATGTTGGGGCGCAACAGGGGCGCGTCCTCAGCTTCTGATCCGGACGTGCACAATTAGGGTGGCGTGGGTTTGCTGTGCACTGACGGGAGCACAAGACGGTCAACGTTAGTTTCAAGTGAACCGACTACAATCAGATCCACTAGTTAGGACTTAGCATTGCTGTGTTGCACTAAAAACAAATGTGCACGTACACACAAACATACACACGCAGAGCTGGATGCGTCTCTGTGTCCACACAGTTGAGTCACATGAACACTGTCCACCCACTCAACAACAACCAGGGTTGGGTTTGAAAATTGTTACGAACCTAAGAGAACCGGGGACTCGTTAAGAAATGCGGCTTTTGGTTCCACTTGTCGTTTCCTGAAAGCAAGACTTTGGACCTACTGTGCTTCCATTTGCATCGGCAGTTACATGAGCGTGTGTGTGTGATGTTTACAGTATGGCAGACTAGGCTAAGCCTCAGAAAACCCAATAATGATAGAGTGAAATGTAATCACTGCAGTTAAGGAAAGTTAGAGGCATGAAGGTAGACTTACTGCAGGATGATCTGAGAATGTAGTTTTTACTGTCCTGCATCAGTAGCAGTGATATTAGACCACAAAAGAGTTTTGTGGATGAGATCCCAAGAATTTAATGCCAGGTATATCACATAAAAGTTGCAAAAGTCCCAGCATGCCTTGGAAAAGTACTAAACGGTGTTTTGCAACATAGCCTGCTGAAATAAAAATCAGTAGGTTTTAACTGCCATAGAAGTGAAACACACACAGCTAGCACAAATATTGTATTTCGTTTAAACCAAAAAATCAAATCAAGAATACCTCGTTGTGGATATCCACCTGATGGCAGCATACGTTTATCACAGGAATTCTTTTTTCTGCCTTTCGTAAAATTTTGATCTCAGGATTCGATAAGAACGAGAATCACGAAGCAGATTTCAGTCGATTAAAATCAAACCCAACCCTGAAGGTAACCTCATCGTCTCAAACTGAAACACTTTCACAGATTGCAGGGATTTCTTTATATTATTGTCTGTACAAATCTGCACATTCATCATCATCATCAGCCAAATAATCCTCTGGTTTTCTTGTGGTTCATTTCTACCTTGTTAGTAACCTTTATTTACCATGAGTAGCACAATATTGGGATGTTAGATAGTGAGGCGATGGATAGACGCTTGTTAAAAATCTTTGTTTGTTTGTAGCTTTGCTGATATTAAGTTCTAGCGGTGACACATTCCTTCATGTTTTTTTAATACGGCTTCAGTAACCATCTCCGTTGAAGTCAATATTTTTTCACATATATCCAATTCAAGTGTAGATCAAATACTCATTTTAGCCTGAAAGTGGATCGAATTTCAATGTAGAAGAGTTGTTTGCACGCCATCATTAAGGCTCCACCAGTTATCATCAATGAAATGCTGACACATAATACACAGCAGTATTATGTCTAAACCTGATGCAAATGTATATAAGCTTTAAGCTTTTAATGTAGAAAAAAAATGGTAATGCTACTAGCAGAATAATACACGTGATGAATTGTAGTCCTTATATTAGGGGTAACATACAGTACGTATGCTTGATAGAATGGCATTGCCTGTGAGTGTTGGTGTGTGCGGTTTATTTTAGATTTACCTTTTTTTTTTTTTTTTTGTATTGACAGAAATGAGAAATGTTTTGTATGCAAGTTGATTTTTTTAATTTATTTTTTTTTTCGTTTTGTTTTTAAGCCTGCTGCCTTCAAAGTAAAAGCATTCACTTCCTCATCGAGGGAGAAAGATGACAAAATATAGACACGTGCCAGTTATTTCTTTTAACAGCAGATAAATCAGAGTCTTATGAGTAGCATCGGGAGAGGGGTGGGGCAAAATCTTACTGTAACTGATTATGTGGAAACCAAAAACAAATTCTGAGAAGATTAGATCAGTGGAACGTTTTTTTTTCCCCTCATCTACACATTATAAATGTGGGCTGTGCAGTCGTGTCACTGAAGCAGCCATTAATAATACTTGGGGATGCACTGATTGTGAAATTCCAGGTCGGTTCCAATGTCGGAAAAACACAAAATTTCCCCGATATCCAAGCCCAGTATTTTTTCTACTCTTGTGTTTAGTTTTTGTTGTTGTTTATGAACTCTTTTATGCCCTGGAAACAAAGTAGATCCCAGTTAATTTGACACAACAGATAACTATCGGTAGATTCAGTCTTATATCGGTCATCGGCCAGTCACAGTTTTTGCTTGTATATCAGTGCATCCCTGATGATAAAAGTTCCACCGGTGTTTGATTTGAATAGTGATACACAAATGTGGATTTGATCGGAACCTGTTCGGTAGATTTAGGGACGCTGGCACCTAAATCTATATGAAATGATCAGTTTCGATTTCAGGAATGAACCCATCCAAAATATTAGATCCACCATTTACCAAATCAGTCAAACCTGTAATGTATTTTATGTACTTATGACCCACTTGTAGTGTCCAGGTCTGAATAGAGAGTGTGTGTGTGCATGTGTTATTTCTTTTTTTAATATTTCCACTGTTTGTCCCGCTTATGGACATATTCCTTTAACTCAGTGAACACTTCTTCAGGAAACTTTGAAAGCCTTAAACTATGTCATAACTACTTTGCACCATGTTTACAGTTGGATCATTGTATAGGTATGTGTGCCCTCTTGCAGGCGCATAACAGAAACTCATTATGCAATAAGCACTTTTTTCTCACAGGTATATTTTGCTGGATAGTGTAATGGCTTGCACTGTTACTGTGTTACTCCAAGTGGGCACTGTGGAACTTTGTGTTGATAACCAGTGGTTTTTAAAAAAACAAAACAAAAAAAACCCTGCCTTTTCCTTTCCTTATTTTTGTGTTTTCTCAGTCATCCAGGCCATCTCTTTTGTTGTGTAATGTGTCTAGATGGGATTGGCTTCCCCAGATCTGTTTCGCTTTCCTCCACATTAAGATCGGCGCGATTGTCTCGCTGATTCGTGTCACGCCGTCTTCGTTTTCCCGTCGATTTCATTTTAATTGGAGCTGTTTTCTTTGAAGTGAATGCCGAGCTTTTGAAAGTTTTCGGTTGCTGCTGGCAGTGACCTTGAACGAGTGGACTGTTTATCAGAAGAGCAAACGCGTCTGATATAGACTCTCAAGCTATATTGTCACAAGAAGAACATACCTCACAGTCAAAACAGTTGTTTTTTTTTCTGCAGTGTCTGTGTAAAATCCATCCAACCAGTCTTTCAGAAATTCCTATAAAACCATCGAGCCTTGGATTTTTAAGAAAAGAGTTGTTTTTATCAGCCAGATGGCCTGTTACGTACCCTCGTCCTTACTGACTCAATATGCAACACCTTTACTACCTGTGTAGCTGCTTCTTCTTTTCCTCAGTGACCTGTTGTTGTGAATAGACAGTAGCAGTTTAATCTCCATAGTCATTAAAGCTCAGATCTACAAAGGGTTAAACTTCACTACTCGCTGGAGCAGAAGTTGAAAAAGGGGGCAATTAAATACAAAGTAAAAATATTTGCAGACTGTCATTTCACTGAGAATGATGATTGAATATGTTCAATCCAAAATCTGTTTGCTCACATCACTGAATGTGGCTTGGAGTTGAGTCCATTTCGGATTTAATTTTTGCTGCGCCGCCTCACCAAGAGCTGGGGGCAAAAAGGCATTTTCTTTTTTTCTTGTCACCACACTATCTCAGATATGCACATTGTACAGAAATGGATGTTCTTTTTTTTTTTTTTTTTTTTTTTTAAATTGATGCTAATTTTTACATTAATGTAATTTTTTAAAAAGTCCTCTTATCAAAGCTTTAGATGTGGAGGAACCGTGGAACTAAATAATTGCTGCAGCAAGCTGTTTTGATATTTATATTCTCAGGTGTCTTAAATTTTCGGCATTGGAGTTTCAATATTTCCTGTGCGACACAGAAGTACAAAGCATGGTTTTGTTTCTTATGTTATGCTGATTAATTTATTACATATCGAAAAACTTATATGGTTTGTGTGGTTTAATTATTCTTTTCATAACTCATTTTGTGATATGGAACAGTACTAATATTAAATGTTTCCAATGTTTGCTTGACCTGTGCTATTTTTAAGAAATAAAAATTAAGTTCATCTTTTATTTGTGCATTTTTTTTTCATCTGTCTAATGAAGACGGTGTAAATTATATAAATAACTTAGCAATACTGTATTGTATGCTACAAGTGATAACTGTTAGCTATTGCATATTATTAGTATTAATAATAATAATAATAATGGATTGCATTTATATAGTGCTTTTCGAGACCCTCAAAGCGCTTTACAATTCCACTATTCATTCACTCACATTCACACACTGGTGGATTAGTTAGTGTGAATTATTAGTAGCCCATTGGCTGTATTATATAGCGCTTATTCTGTATGACCAGTAGTTTGCCATTATTTGAGATCTAAATCAGCTTCCTAATTATTCGTTGTTGATAGTAAATATGTTACATGAATTATGGTCCTAATGTGCTTTGTTCTGCGGACCATTTAGGGTATTATTAACTCGCCTAAAAAGATTTAAAATATTATATTTTAACTAGTATCCAACTAACTAAGTTAATGCCTTTCACACTAAAATGATATTATGAGCAACCCTCCCTTTAGGGATAAACAGGCTCACTACCCACTTTAATAGGTGCACTTTGCAAATCTCCTTTTCATTCATTCGCCCTTAATTATTTGTAGCATGGATTCAACAAGGTGTTGGAAACCTTCCCTGTAGATTTTGGTCCATATAGTCTTCCTCCCCTCATCCCAAGCTGTTTGGGACAGATGCCTGCCCCTCTCCCAGCTTGGTTCTGCTGGCAGTTTCTTTCTGTTAAGAGAGTTTTTCCTTCCCACTGTTGCCAAGTGCTCGTCCAGAGATGGTCGCTTGATTGTTGGGGTTTTCTCTGTATTATTGTAGGATCTTTACCTTACAATGTAATGCACCTTGAAATGACCTCTGCTGTGATTTAGTGCTATATGAATTGAATTGAATTGAATAGAACTGAGCTGCAGATTTGTTGGCTGCATATCCGTGATGAAAATCTCCTGGTTCACCACATCCCAAAGGTGCTCTAATGGATTGAGATCTGTTAACTGTGGAGGATATTTGAGTGCAGTGAACTCAACTCAAGATTGTTCAAGAAACAAGTTTGAGAGTATTTATGACATTGTGTTCCGGCAGAAGATGGAAAGACTGTGGCCATAAAGGAATGGATTTTGGCAAGTAGGCTTTGGTGTTCATACAAGGCTCAGTTTGTACCCCAAAGTATGCCAAGAAAATATCACCAGCCTGAGTTGTTGATACAAGATGTGATGCATCCATGCTTTTGTGTTTCTTATGCCAAAAGCTACCATCCAAATGTCACAGCACAAATTGACACTCAACATACAACAGAATATTTTTCTAATTTTTATCCAATTTTGGTGAGCCTGTGTAATTTGCAGCCTCATTTTGTTCTCGGCTGACAGGAGTGACAACTGCTGTGGTCTTCTGCTGCTGTGGCCCATCTGCTTCAAGGTTCAGAGATGGTCTCTCACAGACTTTAATAAGTGCTTGTTTGAGTTACTGTTACCTTCTTATCAGCTTAAAGCCATTCTATTCCGACCTCTAGCATCAGCAAACTGCAGCTCACTGGATATTTTCTTCTTCTCTGTAAACCATAGAGACGGTTGTGTGGGGGAAATCCCAGTAGATTAGCAGTTTGTGAAATACTCAGACCGTCCAGCACCAGCAACCATCCTCCCCATTCTGATGCTCACTTTGAATATATCATAACTCCATCTACATACGCATACCTACATACAGTCCATGTATTGTATACAAACTCAAGCACATTTGTTGTTACAGAATATGTTTTTTTCCAGGTTAATCAGCAGATTTGTTAAACATTTATCTTTATGCTATAAATGAACTACAACACAACTCAAATGTAGCAATAACTTCTCAAAAACTATGATGCTAAAGCTACTTTCAACTACACTTAAAAACATAGCTTAATATGCTAATAGGCATGCTAATCATAGGTTAATAGCAGTATGACTGTAGTATTTCCCTGAAGGTTTTCAAAGAGCATGTCATACTTTATGAAATGTCAACTATTTCAGTGAGCAGAAACCTCAATTAAAGGTCACAGTTCAGGTGGCTTTAAGCAAAGCAGTGTACCTCCCGTGACTCAGTGCTCTAGCTAACATGGCATTTGAACGTGGTATTAAATGTGGTGTTACTGTGAGGAGAGGAGTTGTAGTATATGATCAAGGACTCCTTCTTGTCTCCAAGAGAGCTTTTTCTCTTGAATTGGCATAGTTCACTCCAATAATGCATTTTCATAGTGTCGCCGCCACGCAAAAACATCTGCTTCCTTTAACTGCTGATTTTATATTTATAATATAATTATAATAGACTTCTATAACACAGCATCTATAACAGCTATGTTTCTTGCCTTTATCTAATAAAACAAACTGACTGTCATTACTACAGTTATCACACCAGATTAAATAAAACAGAAAATAATAGACTTGGAATTCATGTTTTAATAAAGATACTTCTCTCCCTATAAGTAGATCTTTACATAACACGAAAGGAAACTATGATGCTATATATTATCAGTATCCCATAATTAGAGC